ACTTTAAATCCTTCACATATCAACATATGTTCAGGAAATAGAGAACAGTGTCCTTTCCTGGATTAGAACCCAGGATCTGTGCATTAAGAAGCAGCTTGATATCTGCGGTAGGCCTGGCAGTGCTTGACTCCATTATTTAATAAGGTTTTCATTTTTTCCTGGATCACATGGAAAGTGGATAAAGGTGGAGTAGGATTTAAGTCCAGAACAGTCTCACTCTGCAAAGGGAGGCCCCTGCTGGGACTCAAACCCAGAACCAACAATCTGTGAGGAGGCAGGTTTGCTTCTCTTTCTCGCTCATTTAGGTTCATTTACTTTACGGAAAATGGAGGCACTTCAAAAGTGTGATCTGTCTTATTTAAGAAACATGTTCTACGTTTGATCCATGACAGATTATTGGCTGACTTCAGACAAAAGGCCGAGTCAGTAACACTATTCTCTCCACAACATCCCCAGAGCATTTAGATTTAGAAATGTAAAACCTTAAACTTATATAAAATTCACTTCTTGAGAAGCCACGTCGCATGAGAGCATTTGCCAAAAAACTAAATTGACTGATTTAAAAACATAGAACATCATTTATCAAACGCTCTGTATATTTTTGGCCGTGGTTCCTGGCTGTATGTCAGAGCTTGACAGATTATGTAAGTTTTGAAATCTTCTTCAGTGTGCGACACAAAGCAAACAGATGGAAAAATACAGCTGCTGTGCTCTGCAGTGATTTCTCAAACTTATAAAATGTGAAAGTTCCTCATTTGGGGCAAGTTAAACCTAATAATGGTCTTGAAATAAATGAAACAAATAATTCAGTACAGTCAGATTCTAAAAAAAATTAGCCAAAATCACAGTCATGTCTTAACGAACCACGCTCTCACAAACAAGAGTCATCAGTGCAGACGGACACTCCTCAATGCACATTTAATCTAATAATAAGAATCTGTCACAGATGAGTTATGAAACTCCTCCTGTCAACAGGTGAGTTAAGGTGATGCTGTCATTCAACACAAAGAGACACATCCTAGACCTAATACTGCCACTCAAACCTCAGTGTTCGGAAATCGATTTGTGCTCGCTTCATTTCTCTCTTTACTGCTCGGGTAAAGCTCAGTCAAGCTTCTCTCTCTCGCGTGGCTCTGGGCACATTTTATTTGATGATGGTAAAGTCTATACATGATGCCACTGCAGGGCCAAAATTATCCAAGACAGAACAAACTGCAACCGTGCCAGGAACATGTCAACTCCGTGGACTCAATGTTTTATCCAGATGACAAGTTGCTCTTACAAAGCTTTAGTCAGCTGAATGGCATAAATGTACAGAGAGTTCCTCCGAGGTGTACTTGATGGGCCATTTAAATCCTTTTCTGACCTCATGCAAGTCCTATAGTTGTAGGTCAGATGAGGCAAGCTCACAGACAGAAACATCAAACTTTAAATTTAACAGCACAGCTGTTATAGCTTCAAAATTTCAAGTATGCTTCGCTGAACCTCGACCTCGCCTAAGGATGACAGTGTTCAAATTTCCCAACCATTTTCGTACATAGATGAGGACATTTTTGCCTTTTTATGAGGAGCATAAACACATCATTCCAATGTGTATCAACAGCCTGATGTTTCTGGTGCAGTCCTTGTCCTCCTCCTGACTTCCGTGTTGTTTGTTTGTTGTGATTATAATAACAGAAATTAATATCTACATAATGTTCCCATGCTAATTTAGTTCTCCAGCTGTAGGAGCATATTTTAAGGCCTTAACTGTGTACAATAAAAGGCGGATTTATTTCAAATATCAGCCAACAAACAAATATCGGATTATATCAGCCTGCATCTAAAATCTCCGATACCAGCACTCCAATACAAGCAATCCATTCCAGACTCCACTCCGGCACCTCCATCTAGCAGCGTCCGGATCTAGCAATATAAAACCCATGTGATCACAACAACAGTGTGTACTAAGGAGTAGGAGTGATGTCGGTTGTGGCAGTATTTTTCGTTAAAGCCCAAAAAAGACATTGCACAAGTTTGTGCGAATATCGGATCAATATCGGTATTGGCCGATACTGAAGGCTACAATATCAGTATCGTGTTGGAAGTAAAAATATTGTATCAGGACACCCCTGTTCTCAAACTTATACTCACAATGTTTTTGGTCGCAATAATCGAAACAACAAAAGTCTGACAGACAGATGAAAGCTTGTTGGCTGTTAGGACTCCAGAAATTAATCTGCTACTTGTGTGTTTTTAAAAACCCAGTAAGGATAAGAAAGCAGCTGCCTGGTGGTGATAGTGATGAGCAGAAACTGTCATGCCAAGTGAAGTGAAATTAGACTCCATTGTTGGTGATTTCAGCGGGCTCGTAAATGACTTAATAATTGATTGGGAGATCACGACTGAGTATAGTGTGGAAAATCTGAAACCAAATGGAAAAGCAATTGGACTCTTTGCCAGATGTTTTCCCAATTCTTGGACATGTTGTAAACGGATAAAAAATAGCCTGCTGTCCTCCTGACTGCAGAAGATGAGCATAAAAGGTGCCTGAAGAGTGTCCCCCTCTCTCTGCTCTACAAGCTAATGTAAGTGTGACCAAGTCTGATCATGCATCAACTCTGAACTGTGTATTTATGCATGTTTGAATTTAAAGCAGTTTGCATTTTACGTTGCGTTTGGCGGCCGCTATGGACAAAAGTGGTACTGTTTTACCAGAATGATGACTGCCTTTCCCATGATAGATAGATAGATAGATAGAGAACTTTATTAATCCCCGAGGGGAAATTCGGTTGTTGTAGTAGCCGATACAAGCAATACAGAGAAATACAAAAAATAGATAAAATATACAAGACTATACAAGACTATACAAGGTAATGAATGAATATGAGTACATAAATAGTATGTACTAAGATGAATGAATCTGTAAGTGTAGATGTGCAAAGGAGAAATGTGCAAAAGTGATAAAAATATTGTACGATACTTATATGTGCTTAATATAACTTAATTACGACCTAAGCATGTGTACCCGTATTTACAACAACAATGTAGGAATGGCAGGCTAGTCCATGTAAGTGACTGTGGCTCTAACAGGGGTGGATGAGTTAAAGAGTCTTATTGCAGTAGGTAGGAATGACTTCCTGTATCTTTCCTTAGAGCAGCGGGGTTGAATGAGTCTGTTGCTGAAGCTGCTCTTCAACCTCTCCAGTGTGTTGTAGAGGGGGTGGTAGGGATTGTCCATGATTGCCAGCAGCTTTGCCAGCATCCTGTCTTCCACCACCTCTTCCAGGGTGACAAGTTTAGAGCCCACAACAGACTCTGCCCTTCTGATGAGTTTGTTCAGTCTGTTGGCGTCCTTGACCTGTTGCTGTGAAGACACTTAGGAGGTCTTTGGTCTGAAGTGTAGTTGTTTTGGAGGTGATATCATCAGCCATGTGTAGCTATTTGTTGTGGCTCTGTTTTCACTGGCTAGCTTAGCAACAATTCACTGCTCCTCTTGTGTTCCTAAGTGCTGTCACTATTTACGCGTCAGTGTGTATTGGCCTGGCCTGGATGGAGTCAAACTCCTGGCCTGAATTATGGCCCCAGTCTGCCCCTGGACACAGATTTATCAGGAGAAGCGAGGTACTTCTTAATATCTAGTTAAAAGTTCCCCACAGAAATTTTAACCCAAATTCAACGTGATTAAATAAATCAGGATCTTCACTGTGCAGGACTCGACTTGAGATGTGACCCTTTATCCTTCTGTTCAACACAACATTACATTACACTACACTGCACCAAGACTGAAATTTAAATTCATCTTTTATTAAGATGTAAGAATAATGTGGCACGACGAACAGGATTGAATGACAAGCTTTCAGATCAAACATTTGTACTTGGCTCTAACATGCACTCAGTCATGAAGCTTGTCAGCTCTTTGACAATTAATCAAAGTGACCTCATTGGTTTGGAAGTTCTTAAAATTTCCACGACTTGTCGAAGCAACTGCCGATAATGGATGCAAATAGTTTGATTAAGTGATAAAGCTCGAGATTAAAACTAAAGTGTCTCTATTTTGTCACATTACAGTGAATCTGCTTTTGTGTGGTAAACAATAATAGGAAAGTTATATCTGCCAATGGCTGGATGAACAGACGCTGAAGATGAAATATTGCTAATTAAAGCAGCATGTCAATGAAAACACAGCAGTTACTACAATCAGTTTATCACTCTGTGCTTGCAGCTGCCTGGCTCGGTTAAGCCTGTTGCTGCACACTATAAACTGTTTTCAGCGTAAATTAACAGATGAATTTAAAAAAAGTGCTTTTTTACGTTTTGCTTCTTTGAATGTTGCAAGAGTTGGCTCTTAAATCTTGGCAGTCGTTCTACTTTTCATCCATTTTAGTTCATCCAAGAAGCTATAAACTGCACTCAAGTGTTTGCCCATGAGCCAAGTAACAGAGGAGCTGGGTCTGACCCAAAAAGTCTGTGAGCAACGGCTCACACAGGATCCCTGTAACCTTAGGGCAAATAATTCAGCTGGCTGTATGGTTATACAACACCGGCATAATATGATGTACACAATCAATATATTTCTTTTCATTCCTGTTATTATAACCACTGAAAGTATAACCTCAGTTACTGAAGTGACAAAAAAGCCTCAATATTTACATGACATACAGTCGATTATACAAATATTACATATCAGTGTTATTCTTATAATTTGTTTGACAAGGAAAGATTTATAATTTTTATGTGAAACAGAAAAGACTGCCTCGTATTGGGCATTTAACCCGTTTATTATATCCTTGAGTCTGTTGGGGCTGCCAAGCACTTTTTTAAGCAAATGGGAAAATGACTGAGCCATTGATGAGGAAGATTCAGAAACATACAGCCTGATTTTAAGACCTTGTAAATAAAAAACTGCAGGTTTAATATTTACACAGGATGTTAAATATTTTCGACACACTTTTCTAAATAAATGTCAACAACTAAAGAGTCTTAAAACACGACTTCAGACAAAAATCTCTCAGGAGGCGTTTGTCAAACTGGCATTTTTGTTTTTATCAAAGAATGCACTTTATTGAAAGATGTTTGAAAAAATAGAAAGGAGATAACCTTTGGTTTGGATACAGTATTCCAAATGATTTAAGCATTGACAAAATTTACATAAAACCTGAAAGAATTAGAGCCTAAAAAGGGGAAAGATTGAAACAAATAATGTTCTCAAACACAGAGTCAAACTTTATCATGCTGAGATTTATAAATGATCAGAACTACCAGGTAAAATCTCCCTGTTTTGACCTTGTAAACCTCTTGAGAAGAAATGTAATGTTTCCACTGCAGTCCTACTAGCTTGGACTTAAAAGATTTATTACAACCCTGACTTGTTTTGTGTCTTTAAAGTCATGCCAAAATGTTCCTCGAGACACTGCTTCCATAAGATGGATCTAAATTATTCTCAGACATTGCACAAATAGAAAACATATACATTCAAAGCACCACTAAATCTTTAAAGAGAATAGTTTTTATTTTTTGTCAGCTATACCTTTTACAGTATATTTGAAATCACTGACATTTTAGGTGTATCCACAGGAAATACACCACTTTTAACCCCTGGGTCTGGTGTGTCGCTCTGCCATCACGATGATCTTTTCACTACTCCGCGCTCAGTCTCTTCCCCTCCTCCTGCTGCCAGCTGCATAGGAAAGAGAAACGGATCGTGCATTAAATACATATAAATCATTTAGATCACACGGAAATAATCATTGATTTAATGTATTGAAGCTTGGCATTTCAGCTCTGCTTTCAACGCTAGCCCCAAGGAAACACCAAGCTCAGCACAGCAGGGAGTGGGGTGGATAATAATAACTAACAGACTCAGAGCCTGCGGGGGGAAGCATGAAATGCTGTTCAAGTGTCCAGTGCACACATTAGCATTAGCACCAAGCCTCAGCATAGCATTGTGAGGGCAAGCATGGTAGCAAAAGACTGAGCATGGCGCAGTAGGCTTAAAGGAATAGTTCAACATTTTGGAAATTGCTCATTTATTCTCTTGACAAGTCTGTACAGTTAAGGAGTTACATTTGGCATCTTAATGACTAGACCTATCAAGGAATATCTTTTGTGTTTGTTAATGATTTATGAGTGCTGCCTATTTATGGACCAGCTGCAGAAACTTCCTAGAGTCTCCGTGAGGTTGCGCAGCAGCAACTGGAAACTCCAGAAAGTCTTGGCAAGAAATCTTCAGGTGCATACTCCCTTGTAAGTGCTTTACAAGTTGCTGATGTTGTTTTAAAGTGGATTACAAACACAAATGCTGCTCTGTATTCTTAAGAGTGCTGTAAGGACGTGTTTTACTACCTATTTGATGGAGCCAGGCTGGCTGTCTCTCTCCGCTAAGGTAAGTTCTTTTGCAATCTGTAGTTGATAGTCACTTTTTATTTTCCATACAGAAATGAGTGTTTTTAATCTTTTATATTATCATTTAAATATATTCTATTGAATCTCAGCAAAAACTCATATGTGGACTTATTCCTTTAAGAACCAGAGTCATGTCTGAAGTGTTTTGACTCAGGTAGAGCAGTTTGCTGCGGTGCCTGACCAAAGCGTGGATTGAGTGGACAAATAACTCTTGTCACAACTATCAAGAACTAAGGACTTCTCGTTGTCCAGAGGTTTTAATTTTACCTAATACTCTTCTGGAACTGGAAGAAGAGGTTCTTCTTGTACCACCTGCTATAAAGGCAAACAAACATGTTAAGTCACAAACTGGCATTCAAGTTTTTTTCCCCCTTTGTCGCCGAAACTAAAACAAATTACCTCGAATCACTTCGGTAAGTCTTTCAGTGTCGATGTTAGCACCGCCTTCAATGGTGGTAAATGATGAAAGGTCAGTTCCTGAAGAAGAAAATGGGTTTTTAAAAGTCTTTGAATAATAATGCCTATTCTCGAATCAGATAGTTTTACATACCCTCCAGTTCGACATTGGTGGTACCAGTACTGACTGAGTACTGAGGACCTGAAAACGGAGGATGAATGAATATCAGTAAATAAATTTGGATGGGAGATTTCCTAAAAATGCTAACATATTAATTAAAAAAGAACTTACCTGAGACAACCCTTGTGACTTTGGTGACAACGGGCTCCGCTTCAATGACTCTGGTAACCTTGGTGACGATGGGCTCCCCCTCAATCACCCTGGTAACCTTGGTGATGACGGGATCCGCTTCAATCACCCTCGTCACTTTCACCTCTGGGACTAAAAAAAAAAGGAGGCCTGTGTAAATACACCGACACACCAGCACAGCACGGCCCTTCGATTCAGAGAACTTTCCATTTGTATGCAGGTGTCATAACAAATGGACCTTTCACTGGATCTGAAAGGTTGTTTGTTTAAGGACAAGAATGTGATTCATAATCAAAAGTTTAACTTGGCTGAGCACTAGGATTGTTGCACTGCAGCGTCATATGCGAAATATTGTGGTTTTTTTTGGTTTAATAATTTTGGTTTATATTCAAAATATATATATTAAAAAAATAAAACACTTATTATCCCTGGCAGTCAAAATATTTTCCTACCTCTGTGTCTGGGTTATTTTGAAAGTCAAACCTTGCATGTGAATGTATGTGCGTGCATATTTTGTGGAATTATCTGGATTAAGAGGAAGTGTCAGTCATTTGTCAGTTCTCATCAAGGGCGTGTTCAGACTGGGGTACTGGCTTATACGGGGGTGAGGCGACATATCATAGGCACACAAATGCGCTCTGTTTATTGACCTTTTTCATCTCCATTATTCGTATCATATACAGGCACTTATGTATCACACAGATTTTAATTTCCTTTGTTTATTTTTTTCAATTTCAAAGGTAATAAAAGCGACTACATTTAAACTTTTAATCTTACTTCCTCAAGGACTCGAAAGGACATTTGTCTTAAGTTGAATTAAAAGTAAAATACAGGTAAAGTCCTTTATCCCTTTATCGGAGTCTGTATGCAATATTTGATTAACTGAGGGACTTGTGATATATAAATATTTACAGTATTTTCTAAAGTGACAATTAGGGAAAAATTTTCCACACCTGGGTGGCCTATCAGGTTTCAAGGTAGGGGCCATACCCCCCCAGGCAATGCATCTGGACACACCCATGGTTCCTCTCTAAAGTCACCTATAAGTATTTTCTTTTTTTTTTTTTAATGAATACAACTGATTTATCACAGCCACCTCTGACCTGTGAGACTTGACTGATTAGGAATCACATGATGATGATAATACCGTAATCATCATTACTGTACCTTCATGGACGACAGTGATGATCCTCTCTAATGACAACAGGAGACAAACAGGTATTAATGACAGTGAAGCATGCCTTCTATACATGAGTGAAATTTCGTGTTTTAGTAACAAAACAAACAAAAGACAAAGGTAGTATGCTACTTACTCAAAAATGTGAGGGGGATTTCCTGATATCTGAATCCTGAAATGTACTGTAAAAAAAAGGGAAGAATATCTGTTACAGCAGCGATGGAAAGCTGTACAGTAATCTGATGTTGCATAACAAAGTCTTGTTTTAATAAAACTGTGGAAAATTATTATAATTGCGGCAAGTTCAGCCTTACATTGCACGCCCTCACTGAATACCATGAGCACACTACTTTGCAAAGATGATATTTCGTGCAGGTTCATGTCCTGCGCTTTAGCATGAGTTACATAAGTTTAATTTTGGCAGCTAAAGATGGAATAAAAAGCCCCTGAGTAGACAAACTACACCCTTCCCTTTAGCCTCGATGCTTTATTAAAAAGAAGTCACATTTGGTATGACACCTTAATTTGCATGTAGCTGATGAGCTTCTGCAATAGCGTGAGGAAATCCTGGCTTCCGACAGGGATATCTGAAAGAAAGCAGAGGGCGTTTACTGCAGCTAAGCCTCGACAACAGTTATACCAACAAAGAAGCTTATCTGTCAGGATTTACAAAAACAACAGGAATCTTAACAGCGCTTAAAGTTAAAGTCGACCAAGTGAAAGCTTTACCTTCGGGATACAAGACTTGGTCGACGAAGTGAACGACTCCATTTGAAGCCATGATGTCAGATTCAGGGACTGCGACTGAGTTCACCTTGACTTTGTTGTCTGCCTGAGGGAAACATTTAAAACCATTAAACAGAAGAAAACCACAAATAGGAGCTTGAATGAACTTGTTGTCTGAATATGAGGAATGAGCAGCTCTACCTACAGCAAACAACTTTCATTAATGGCTTATTGAGGTTACCGAGTTCAAAAACCAAATCAAACAAGGTTTGATGCTGCCATAAATTAACAAACTGATTTGATTGTTTTTCATCCCTTTAAAATGAAGGCTCATAAAAGTTTGGGGAAGTTTTAGTGATCTATAGACCTGATGAGAAGTCTGACTGCACTATATACTTACAAGCACGACTTTGAGGTTGCTGCCCTGGAGAGACTTGAGAAGGTTTGTCACGCCAGACTCCAAACCACCGCCAATAAAGACACCGTTATTGATGTGATACAACAGGAGGGTCCTGAGTGCATTCATGTCACCTGAAGTACAAAAAAACATGCAGGTAAAGTTTCGATTTATACTTTTATTCCATGCGTTATTCAATTTAGAACGCGAGGAAAAACCCACTCTTCAACAAATCCAGATCGTATGAACTCAACGCAGCAAAAGCCTTATCGCTCGGGGCGAACAGAGTGTAGTCTCCTTCCTGTTTCAGCAGATCAGTCAAGCCGGCGGCCTCCATCAGAGACAAAAAGATCCTGCAGCAAAGAGAAGAGAAGAACAGTAAGCTGGCTGTTAAAGAAACCACTGGGGACTGACTTACTGCAACAACAGCAGTTTCTCATTCCCATATGTTCCATGTGGATTTAATGGAAAGATCCAAAAAGATGTGGTCGAGTCTTACGCTGCATTTTAATACCACAGTCCATTTTCCCAAACATTGTTTTGTACTCACTTGAACCCTCCATTTTCAGTCAGAATCTCCAACATAGATTTTTCCGCTGGTTTCAACAGAGTCCTTGTGACATGGAGGGCCCCATTGCTTCCCTCTTTACTGCCTCTGATCAGACAGGAATTCTCAATGCACACAGCCTGCAGAAAGAATCCTCACGTTAAAGGCAAGGGATTAATATTATGTTTCAAAGGCAGAAAAATTGATGGCCAAATGACACAGAGGGAAATGCATACAGCGTGTGTGTAATGGCACTCAGCCAGAATTGGGGGCACAGGTTCAGAGAAGAGTACATACTGTACGATAGATGAAAACCCTCAGGTATTTCCCTCCAATGGTCTCCAGTTTCTGGCCATTGAACAGCTGTCCCAGGACGACCTTGCTCTTCAAGATGTGGTTCTCCAGGATAAACTTGAGCACATCCTGATCCATAGCCATCACTTCATCTGGAGCAAAAACGAATAAATAAGTTAAGTATCATTAAAGATCGATGGTAGCATCATGTATCTCCTTGACACCAGAAAAGACATCTTAGACATGAAAACATTTCATTCTCTCACTCTCTTGCTTTCCCCTCCTTTCTGAAAACATGAGCGCAAACGGGCGGATGGAAAAAGCTGTGCGCTTATGACGACATAACTGTATAAGCCCCTCCTATATGTTGGTGGCACCGCCCCCGGTAATCGTTAGCCCAGCCCTCTAAAACTTCTTTGCCGAGGTAGCCGGAGTCTTTGAGGACCCAGTGGATTAGTTTTATTTTTGATGGGGATGTACCCAAAACAACTCCGAAAATGTTGTATGTATGTGCTAAACATTTGACCACGGGCTGTTTTACGCAAGATTCGCTAAGAAGCTAAAGATAAAACCTGGATCCGTACCAACTGTCCGTGTCAGGGATCCAACTTTAAGCGTGGAAGCTTTAAGTTTTACCATTTTATGTTACTTTACCGCCGCCCATATGACTAGTGCTTTGGTTGCAATCGTGTGGTTACAAACAGCTCATTATCATTTAAAGGTACAGGCGCAGAATCAGTCTGTTCTCATGGAGCTCAAAAAGAGGAGGGTACAGGCTGGCTGATATCCACAAATAACTGTTGACAACAAACTTCAATTTAACTCTTGTGGGACCTCTGGGACCGATTTAAACTTGATGAAAAATGCCACAATAGGGGACCTTAAAAAAAAGAAAGACAGAGAAATGTCCTTTCTGCTCAAGCTAACCCGATTCACCACTGTACTTCTGACAGTCATTAGACATGATTTGTGGTTTGCTGAACATGGAAGTATTCATGCTTTGAATGTAAGGTTCCTGTTACTTCCAGCTGGAGCTGTCTTTTGCATTCCTAACACCCGTTTAAAAGTAAAAATTAATAACACATTTTTGTGACAGTAACAAAACGTCTCCACTCCCTTTGGTTGAGGTTCAAGAATGTCCTTTGGTGTTATATGCCATGAGGCTTTCGCAGTGTCCCAATAAATCCACAATTTCCCTCCAGTTTTTGTACAGTATATTCACAGGTCTTTTTATTCATGAGTCAGCGTGTGAAGGGAAAAAAGCTTTACCCTTATTTCCAGACTGTGACTAAGTGCGGTTTAACCAGGTATCGTATTCAGCCAGCAGCAAAGAGGAAAACAGAGCGCCGTTTATGATGTAATGATCAGCGCGTGACTCACCATTGAAGACAGCGTTGAGGGGAGCCAGCAAAGTGTACTCAGCTTCTGGTCTCATGGCAGCGGACAATCCCACCTCGGACACCATGTCACCAAAGATTGACTGGGAACTCCCGACCAGTTCCATCACCTGCTTGGCTTAAAGGCACAGGAAATCCCAACACAGTGAAGTTATTGTTACATAAAAACACCCGGCACATTCTCTGGATTTACGCTTTCTGTCAGATTTGAGGAGAGGATGTGTGAGGTTTACCTGAGTCTGGCATGAGTACTTTGTCGATCAGATGGATGACACCGTTGGTTGTGACGATGTCCTTCTTGAGCACCATCTTGACGCCATTAACTGTGAGGCTCTCGCCATCACAGCCAATCTCAATGTTGTTGCCCTCCAGGGTCTCATAGGAGGTGCCAGTCATGATGGCTTCGGCGCACTGAACCGAGTTCAGGAGGTGGAAAGTAAGAAGAGCTGAAAAAGCAGGAAAACTTTAGATTAATGTGTTTTTTGGTTGAAGGTTGACATTTATTTTAATACAGAGGAGGATGTTTTATGGTCTCCCACATGTCACACCGCAGCTGAGTACATATGGGCTCAACATCCTGGGAACCTTGAGACCCTTTGGATCCCTACGGTCCTTGAAAGAGAGGACTTGGGATTTTTTAGAAGTTCTGTCAAATTTCTATGAAATGGTGTGAGTTCACTTCACAGGGCAAGCTGTACGCTAATAAAAAGGTTGGGTTGTTGCCAGTTTGACCAGTTTGCTCAATAAAGCAGCTGTTTCCTGCCTCTAAAAACAAGTCTGATACAAATATGCGGATATTTTGACCACTTTGTTGTCCAGTTTTATGTTTTTGGACTGTGATTAGAAACCTACATGCGCACAATTATAGCAGCAGGATTTTTGTGAATGTCCTCCTCACAGCATGTACAACTTTTAAGACAACTTCGCTATAGTGTCAAATGAAGCGTTGCATTGTTTCCAGCCACAATTTCACGCATGACTAGAAACATGAGACTTATTTTTATTACTCTTCGACATGTCTTTGTTATGCACAGCTTGCCAAGATAGTGTAAGTTCCAGATCTGCTGTGGCTTCATCTGTTTCGAGTTGGAAGTAGTTGAACATTTATAAAGAAATGCCTTTAAGGGTGACTTCGTCTAGTAGTTTTGTTTCCAGAGAACCTCTGCGTGTCTGTTCTTACTCCTTTTTTATTACAGCTAAATATGGTCCTAGTTTTCCACATTTAATGTAAATCCCCAGTTTCTGCTGCAATGTCTCAAACTGCCTACGGTGGACATTTAGGAGCAACAGCAAGGTTTTAAGAGTGAAGGTCTGGTTCACCTTTTAGGGCCCCCTCGTCGCTCTGAATTCTCTCCAGCACATCGCTACCCAGGCTGTCAAAAGCTTCGTTGGTGGGGGCGAAGAGAGTGTACTGTCCTGGCTCACCAAGCTTCTCTAGCAGTCCAGCAGTTTGAGCCAAATCCTAGACGGAGATTTTAAGCAAAGGGTCATCGTTCGTCAGGTAGATTTTAGCTGAGTAGACACAACAGTGAGTGGACAAACATGGTTTCACTTTAAGTGATAGATGCTCTGCTCTGGTCTTAATTAGAGATGTTTTTACCAAACTTTGGCAGATTTATCGTTAAATTGTGTAGTCTACTCCTGGTAAATGGACGATAACTACTCCACAACCCCTCCCACATTAACTTCGTCTACTCCAGCCGCTACAACTTTTGAACCGTCCTCCATCTCCTCACCTGTCTTTCCCTCTTTGTTACGGACTGGATGGGGTGGAGTCAACTTTGATATATTTATTCATTTTTGACAACGAATATGTTTATATGGGCAAAATGATGTCTTTTATTGTGGTAAATTTCGGTATCTGTAAATTTTCAGTTTATTGCTCAGCCCTACTAAAACCCTTACTATCATATCTGCAGTGACTGTCGCTGCGTCTCAGATGCCATGCTTTTGTTGATAATCCGTGTTTGTGTTTACTTACACTCAGAGTTGTCAGCTCATCTGTGACTTCAATGACATCCTGGATCGTACTTCCAGCAGCGCTGATAACACGGTCGATAACATGCACAACTCCATTAGTCGCAACCTGGTTGCCGTGGATAATCCTGGCGCAGTTTACAGTCACCACCTGTACAAAACACACACCTTGATGTTATACCACTGAAAACCACTTTAAGTGCAGCTGTTAAGAGTTAAAGCTTTGATAATACTAGAGGGTTTTACTCACCCCGTTAGGGTAGTGGTTAATGTAGAGACCGAGGTCGTTGTACATGGAGGTGACTGTTATGCCATTCTTTAAATCTTTGGTCAGGAGGCGCTTGTTGGCCATGTGATAGTGCAGGGCGTTGTAGAGCTCAATGTTAACGTTGCTGACCAGCGCAGACTTTATTGTCTGTTGGGTAAAATAACAGCATAGGTTAAAAAACTCACACCAAAAACGTTCATCTGATAATTTTTTTTTCTTGGCTCACCTCATCCAGGTCATCCCAGGCTTCATTACTTGGTGCAAAGAAGGTAAACGATCCAGGTCCCTCGATTTCAGGCCTGAGCTCAGAAATGTCAGAGTATTTCTGGGTTGAAGAGGCTTTTACCAGACCCAAGGTGCCATACACATGGTCGATGGGGGCCACTAAGAGAGAATTAACAAAAGAGAGTGTCTTCAGAAAACAGAAACCTCAGACACTTTAGAGGCTTGAAAACAAAGACTGAACATGTGTTGATAATGTGCTCAGACATCCTCTTTCACTTTATTTGGTCTGGTGTCAGAAATAGCACACAGCTGCAGCGCAGTTGCTGGATATGGCCTTACTCAACCTTTATGAGTTTACTTCAATGTTACAGCTAACACAACTTTACCTGCAGGGCAACCTTTGGGCACACCCTCCATCTTCATGTACCCTGGGCAGCACTCATACAGCACAGTCCTGCAAGTATAACATGAAGTTAGAAACACGCATCTGAAGTTCTGTTTTCAAGAGTCCTTAACAAACAGCTGTGCGAGTTTTTTTCTTTTCTGGTGGCCATGCTTTTGAGCTGGATTAGGACACAGCTTTGGTCTGGTACATACACTTTTCCACATGTCACTAATTATTTCCATCATCTCCCAAACAGACCGTGTGATCCAATAGGTCCGGCCAAATCTAAAGGAAAGGGAGACGAACTTTATGCTCTCACGACTGAGACTCTAAGCAGTTAGTTTGAGCTCTGTTTGACATTTAGCTAACCGTTGAATTTAAGCCTCATAGCTGCAGTATAATTAAAGATGAGTTGAAGGAGATTTTTTTGACTCCTGGAGCATTTAAGGGTTTGAGAAAACTTTAGAGTTAGTCTGAATAACATTGTTCTTTAACCGTCCTCAAACAAAGCGGACATTGTTGTTTCTTTTCCAGTTAAATTAAATATAAATAAGTGTTTCTGAGCTCTTGGGCAGACATATGAGAAGCGCTGTCTTCTCTCTTTAAACCATAAACAGTGCAGGACACCATAGCCTGAGGAGGATTGTAAAATTCAAAGTGCAGCTGCTACATATAAACATGACTGTATTCCTGGTGTCAGCGCGTTCAAACATGTTGAAACTATAGCATTGTTCCCAACTCTTGGAGGACCAGAGATTTCGAGATGTACATTTACCTCAAATAGCTGGCAGGTATGCTAGCTTATAAAAGTCTTTTCAGAAATAAGAGAAAGCCGCAGATGTACTCACTAGGGGGTAAACATTACCACATGCTTGGATTTGGCTGAGAAGTAAATTACCATAGGCTGCTCAGATTTTACTGTGAAGAAACTCCATCAGGGGAATGACTTCTTTTCCCATTGTTCAGCTCAACATGACTAGGATAATCATGGTATTTGGCGAGCACATTACCCAGTTTCTTTCTTTAAATGCCACAGGTGAGTGTAGGTGATCACAAATCTAAGAAGTACAAGAAGAACCTTAAGGGAAGCTAGCACCGACTCCTCCAGTTTGAAACAAGGACTTCAAGCTGAGACTTGTTTCTTTTACTTCTGTGGTTTTTTTCATGGCAGTTGTCCACAGCTGATGCCCCAGGCAGGAGACAGACTGAGGTTTCAGGGTCATGGCTTACTGCACCTCCTTAAACAGCTGAATTCGAATCTGCGTTTTAAGGGGAGAGGGATGAGATCACCCCAACCCTATTGAGGCAGAGTCAGCAAAACCCTCGCTACATTGCTCTCCCACACAGAGGGATTGTGTCTGGCCGTGGATTTGGAAACTTCTGACTTGTTGGTGTCTCTATAAAAGAACTGTTCCACTAAGATTCATGATAACTTTGTAAAAGATTATATAAGACGTGTGGCTTAAGTCCAGTGTAACTAATGGGCAAGTCAGAGGTTTGGTTGGAGGCAGAAGTCTGCTCATTTGTTAAAGCAAACCTCAGTTGGTGGAGACAGTTTTGACATGTTTTAAAAAAGTTAGACTCAGCATGAATTGCCAGAAACTACTGAAAAAAGGACAATTGAAGCCAGATGAGATCATCTTGGTCAGTGTGTTAGCCCGAATGTTTATATTTGCTAAAGAGGGGGATGCTTGTCTGTTGCTTGCAGTAGGAGATGTCTGAGTGAATCAAATCTCAATTATAAGCCATTTTGTAACATAATTATAGACTTTGTGTTTCTGATATTAAAGTTATTATTAAAGGTATTGAACACTGCTCAAATAAATACTTTTGCTATTTAAAATCGGGGTTCCTACACAGTTGGATTTTCCATTCTTTTCCATACCCTACTTTTTCTGGAAATACCTACTTTTCTATTTTTAGAAAACAGTATTTTATAACTGTGGTAATATAGGCTGTTAGCAAATATTTTCCCATACTTTATTTTTCATTTACCATACTTTTTAAGACCTGGAAATTGATCAAATTACTTCCATACTTTTGCGAAGGAACCCTGTAAAATTGGATCAACTGTAACATTTTCCAGAGACTCTGCAAGAATTTACAGTTAAGTGCAAATAAGCAAGTCAGTTAAATTCTACCTCTCTAAGATTAAGATGTGTTCCATTAAAAGGTAAAATTCTTTGGACATGTATATCAATATTCACTGAGTTTAGAGAGCAGTACTGTCCTTCACGAGGAGCTAAGCCAATTTCTTGATATTGGCACAATGTGAGCAGAGAGAGCATGCTGTGTGTGAGAGAGGGGGAGACTGTAAAATAGACATGGCTGCTGTCCATACCCAGGCACAAAAGTGCTGAGTAGGCTGGAAGAATAAGAGAAAAAAAGGTTTCTTTTTTTTTTTCTAATGATTGAGCCGAACTGTTTTCCATTCATAAATACAGTCAACATTTTGCAGCCACATCACATCTTGGAATCAGTGGTTCACCACTGTGGCATCCAACAATGACCAGACCCCCTGAGTTATAAAACCCCCAACTTTAGGTTTATAGGATCAGACGGGACATTCTTCAATACAAATGATTTAGAGCTGCTTTCCTAAATGTGTTTTTCATCCTGAGTGGTAGCTTGATTCAAAGTAAGATAGCAGATGTCGGTCTCTATGGAAACATTCAAGTTTCCATGAAATCTCTAAAGAAGAAGCAGAAGGAAAAGCAGACTCCAAAGATTAACTCTACCTTCTCAAAAACTTAGAGAACAGAGAGCTGAGTAACTTTCTTAGTCTCTGGATTTGCTCTTATTGTTCATCGCTGAGAAAGAAAAACAACTCATCCTTTTGGGAACATGTAACAGCACTCACGCTGGCTTTCCACAGATGGCCTTTTGGTACCAGTTACGACAAGTGCTGAAGTACTTCTTCTTGGTGCCTGCGACTTGCTGGAGCGCACAGACATTGGGTCTGGTAAGAATTACAGTGAAGAGGGGAGAAAGCATTAACTAACAGGTAAAATCCATGAAGAAAGTGAAGTATATAAACTGTAAGATAAATCACAAGATACATCTATTTAAGGGTTTAACTGCAACTCTCTATTCTGTTTCTGTAAATGAATAATGACATTTATGTGCAGCAAACAGATTAGTTAGATTTGTGTTATAGTTTCAATTGCAGCTGATGGTTAACTCCTTTTCTAAGTCATTGTCCATCAAACCAGTAAAATGTCATGACACATGCAAAAGTAAAAGAAACATATTTATATAAAACAACTAAGAATGCATTACAAATACAGCAGAAAAGACACTCATGTGAAGAGGGCAACTGCATGCAAACTTAATACATCACTATGTTGTAAAAAGAGACCTTTCAAAATATCATAAGATAATGAAAAATAATTAATAAACTTACCCTTGAGTTCTTGCCCTGATGCGACTGTGGGCAACTATTTTGTCATAAGCTGAAGAATCAACTTTGTCAAATGTTGAGAGCACAAAGAGTGCAAAGACAGCTGCAAAAAGGAGCTTCATCCTTGATTTCTTTGCTTGCTCTTCCAGACCCAGAGTAAAGGGAGAGGAGTCAGTGCGGGAGTTTATATAGCACAAGTCTTACCCTCCACTCCAGGAGGATGGTAACATTTCACGCATGCATGGACCACCCAGCACCTCTTAAAAACACACTTCCATATGCAAATGCATACAACTTTTTAGCTGTTTGTGTAACAATGAATGTTTAGAAGACTCTTAAGTATATTAATTAATTTATAAATCAGCCTGTATTCAATGTTTGGCCACAAATATTCATTTATTTTAAAAATCCTTGCAGTAATTTTGTTATCTCCTTTCACCCTCTGGTTTGAAGCTACAAACATTTTGATGCATTCTTGTAAAAAAAATTGTGTCATGCCACAGCTATGTATAAAAAGACACTATTTCTTAATTAGCTATTCTTTAAAACCTAATTTTATTACCTTTCATTATAAACAAGTTTAATTAACGGGACACGTCACAGCACAAAGCCTGTGAACAAAAAAAAAACCATCACGTTGAGATAAAAGAAATTCCTGAAAACCCCGAGGCTAGATGCTGTATTAAGAGACAAATAAAATAAGCAGATGGGATGGAGCATCACGATTTATTATTCCTGTTAAAGTGTCAATTTTTTGGACCCCAAACAAAATATATTGCATAATATCTGCGCTGAGCAAATGCCAGAGCAGAGCACTGACAGTGAGCTGTTTCAGGATGTCGTTTTGCTCCATCTAGTGGTGAAAGGGAGTAACATCAAATTTTCAAATAATCAATTTCATATTTGAAGTGATTCACTGGTTAGATATTGAAAACTAAATCAAATCAAGAGCTGGACAAGAACAGGTAAATAAAAAACAAGTGTTTGAATCTATCATTAGCTTTTTTCCTAAAACAAATTCGAGTCCCATCCTGTCAAATTTAGTGTTTAGTTCAGAGTGATTGTAATGCCACAAACATTCAGACTTATAATTAAAAAACCAACAGGACACTTGGACACTAAAAGTATCATTGGATCAAACCATAAACACAACCCTGAGATTTAATATGGTCACATGACTTTACTGCCTTAAATCCAAAAACCGTTTGAGAAAATCCCACAAAGATGTTTTTTTTTCTTCTGATCAGCAGGCAAGCATGTGTTTTGGATTTTAAGCAGCTGGTGTCAAATATTTTCAGTTATTGTGAAGAAAATTGAAACAACCCTTGTCTTGTGTTTGCTAATATGCAAATGACTCATCACATCTTTTTTCATCATAATCTGTATTATCCAGATTAAAACACTATTAGTGTCGCCGTTATCAAGCTTTACCAGAGAATGTTATTCAAAACGGACTAAAGTGGCATCAGATTCTGAGTCATGTTGTTTATCCTGCTGGAGAGCCAGATGTTCTGAATGTGAGTAAGAAAATAATGGCCCTCTAGACAGCTTGGTCAGTGGGCTGTATAAAAACAGAGACATGGCCAGGATCCAATCCACTAAATATTTGGGACAGAAAACATGACTGTCCTTCAGCTCATGTACTTCACTATATGTGTAGCTGCTTAAAAGGTGAGTCTGGAAAGTTTAAAATGTCAGCAAACTTCATTTCCATCGGAAAAAACACTCTATAGACAAGACACTTGATTAGTCGAAGCTTTTAGAAAACACTAATGCAGAAAGGCCAGACCAGACCTGGGCTTTTCATCTCTTCTGAAATCCCAAAGACTGGAATACATTAACTTTACAGTCCCAGCATTCCAATGAGGAGCCAGTTCTCAAACTACTACACAGACTCTGCAGACTCTGCTCGCCTGCATGGAGGACTAATGGCATCGTTACTTTGCTTCAGTGATAATTAAATGCATCTTGGCATTTAAACACAGAATCTGGACACTATTTGAATCAGCGACTTTCACACACACTGACACTACATGTGTTGAAAAGAATGGATCCAAAGTAGTTTTCTGTCTTCCCTCCCCGATAGCAACTCGGTTAAGTGGGAAAATGTGTCTGTAGTATTAGTATTATATAAAACAACTACTACAGATACTACACTGATATAGTATTAATAGTAAAATAAACCTGCTCCTTGTATCAGCTGCATATATTTGACAGTTAGCGTAGACTGGTCTCATTGTGGTCCGGTTTTATGGTCTACATGAGTGCTCTAATCGTTTACATAGATAGTGGTTGTTTCATCTTTGGCCACAGGACCGTTTAATTATTCAACATGTGCAAAAATAACAGCGGTATTAAATCATGGCTGAAGCTTATAGATTGTAATTGATTCAACATAATTTCTTTGAACTTTCAGGCTGAGGTTAGTGAAAGGAATTTAAATGCAGAATAAGATCATTTAATACCTCTTGTGAACCTTTATACTCTGAGGCAGTTCAATTAAAAACAATCCATCAAATGTAATTGATGTGTGCGAAAAAAAAAAGTGACTTTTGGACATAAAAGAAAAGCTAAAAAGGGGGTAAAGTGTCGTTAGAAGGGTTTCAAATGCCGTTTTTTTGTTGGCGTCGATTTTATTTGAAGATAATTTTCATTACAAGTTACAAAACCAAACATACAGATGACAAGACAGACCCGAAGCCTGACAGGTATATTTCAAGCATGGATGAGAAATGAAATACTGCAATAAATCACATCCTGTCTGAGGATTGTGTAATCCTGTGAGCAAATAGACCTTGGAGTAAAGTGTTGCCTCTGCTAAAACCAAGTGTATGAAGTCAAAATGTAAGAGAGAGGACGGCCAATAATCATCCTTATATATCTATATATATTTTTTATATTGTTCAATCTTCCAGTCCTTCAAATCATCCGGGATACAGGATATAGTTGTTTATTTTGATTAAAACAAGATAAAAATCCAAGATACTTGTGTGCACTACAATAATAGGATGGTTAAAGGAGAAATCGAGCCGTTTCAGGACCCTCTGGAATAGATGCTCAAGGTGAAAACATGAATTATTAACCTGCTTCACATTCTCCTGAGCATTAGGCTGGAACAACAGTCCTCAGTTAGTGTTGATAATTGTGGTGAAGCATATATGTATCATGAGATGATATGATATCAATACATCCTTGTCTATATTATAAGATACAGATTAAGATTATTTAAACTGATACATAAGTGAACTATGATTCTGTTTATTATAAAGAAATCTTTTTTTTGTTTTGTTTTTCTTGACTAGAAGAGTGGAAATTAGATTTTTTTTTTAAACTAATAACACAGTCAACATGAAGCTCTCTTGCAGATTAATTGTTGTAGTTTTTAGGCCCATTTTTCATTTTCTTTAATGGAACTTTAAAAGACCGTCCACTCCCATGAGTGTCTTTTCTCCTTTTATCCACTTTCTTTGGGACCTCAATGATTATTTCTTCAGCCTGTTCCTGGTACTGTTTGCTGGATATCAGTGGATCTTCCTCGGGAAATACGTTTATTTCTTCACATTTCTGAGAGAGGAGTCTGCTCTGCTCTGACCCTTCAGCATCCTTTGATAGCTCTTTATGAGGTTTTTTTTCCCCAGATGGAGAAACTGGACCGTTAGCTTGCCTGATAGAGCCCACTGGGCTGGTGCTGTTGGAAACTCTGATCTCCTGGACGGTTGTGGTCGCCTCAAAGAAGCTCAGCCTCCTCTGAGGCTCATCAGTGGGGAACTTTGGAGAATATTTAAAGGAGTTTCCAGGGTAAGCTAAGGTGGAGCTTGCAACTGGTCCTCCAACCCCACCTTGTGGTTTACCTTTCATCATTCCAAGGACTTCATATCGGAAGCTGGAGATATCCTGCTTGAGCTCCTTAAAATGATAGAAAACCAGAGATAAAACAGCTGCATGGATGAAGCAGCAACAGAAAAATGCTCATTAAGATAAATTCTATGCTACCTTAAAATTCTCCTCTGTCAACCCCTCCTCAGTCTTCGCATCTCGGATCTTTGCAGCCACATACCGCTTCACAAGGTTCCTCAAAACCTCCTGAAAAATTGTAGCATGAATGAATCGTCACAATTAAAACCAAAATGCAATTAAAAACAGCACAGCACATTATTTTAAGGCAGATTATCTGAAGCAGAATGCTACCTGATATTCATGGTTTAGTCTCACATTAACCGCGGCACGTTTCTGCAATCAAAGAAAAACTAGCATGAGCTGTGGACCATATTATAATATCCCAATAATACAGCGATGTTATTTAACCTCAACCCTTCAAAATCATCTGTTTTAGGCTCATATCGACAGATAATGAAAACGAATGTTATGCAGTGGAGATGACAAAAGTGAGGGCAAATCTCTGGAAACTCTTACCCCCAATGTTTCAAATGTTTCCACGCTTTTTGTGACTGATCTCCTAAATAAATGCTGTTTTATCCATCTGGCCAGATAATAAACTGACTTTGGGCTGGGTATGATATTAAAAGGAGATGGTAAAGTTCCCCCCTCCTCAAAGTAGCTCATCCATAGTTTTGTTCTTGCAAATTTCCACTCTATATCTGCGTGATCCTGAAAGAAACACAAACTGCAATTAATTAAAAACATGCAAGACATATTAGTGTGGTAAACCCATAAAGTAGGTAGGTCAGCTACACCACTCACAGCAATGTGCTGGTAGGAGTTATTCATCATTGCAATAAGCATGTTCAGAAGCACTACCAGGGAGATGACATTGTATGTGCCAAACATGGTGCTGCCCACAAACTCGGTGAATTGATGGTCTGGTTCTACGTTGGTCACGTAGAGAGAAATCAGGCCAAATACAGACCAAAATAATGACTGCAGCGTCTCGAACAGCCTGGAAAACAAAAAGCGATCCATCACATCATGCACTGCTGACCAAAGTTATTTATCATTATGAATAAGGATTAGACCAGGATGGTATTTAAGAGTTTCAACTTGCGTGGAGAATGCATTGTTCTGGTGACTGCAGCGGATCCCTTTGCACTGACCGTCCCCTTCTGTCTCGTAATAAAAGTAAAGCTGGTTGAGGCCGTTGGCAAAGGCCAACAGCACCAGACAGTAGATAAAGAGAAACTTGAGGATGTCGAGGAGCATTCGACCCAGTGAGATCTGTAAGGGACCTAAATGAGAGTTGGCTGTGAAAAGGCAGATGAGGCGCAAGGAGCTGAAGATGTTAGCGATGGCGAACAATGCCTCTGCCACTAACGTTGGGTGCCACATGTCCCAGCATTTTCTGTCTGCGGGCCCACTGAACTGTAAAAAACAATGAAAACAATTAATGCAGTTCACTTCCATACGAGACAGATTTTTTAATATTTAGGAGATCACAAAGTAGAGCTGGGCAATAAACTGAAAATCTACAGACACCGAAATTTACGACAATAACCGACGTCATTTTACCAATATCAGTATCAAAAAAATAAACAAATACAAGTTGGTTTTGTAGGTAGGCTATGGTCTCATGTCCCTTTCAGACGCTGTCCTATGTCTGAGATGTGACTCCACCCCATCCAGTCCATAACAAAGAGGGAAAGACAAGTGAGGAGATGGAGGACGGTTCAAAAGTTGTAGCAGCTGATACGGCGGTGCGAAATTAATGTGGGAGGGAGTGAGCAGCTTGTGAAGTAGTTATCGTCCATTTATTGTTATCGAAGTGAACTGATCAATATATTGTGATATTGATTTGAGGCCTTATCGCCCAGCCCTATCACAAAGTCCTAGCATGAATTTTAAGTGTCTTCTATGAGATATTTAAAATATAAATACCTTTACATATGCAACGATCTTCAGAGAAATGGTGGCAAGATACAAAGAGTTCATTATAAAGTCCATTAAGTTCCACCAGTCGTCCATGTAGTCCTCTAAACCACTATCCCACATCTGTTTGATCTCAGTCCAGACAAAACCTGGAGATAAAAATAGTGAGTGAATTTACAACACCTCCATTTCAGTTTGATACCCTTACATAAACATAACAGCGCATAATAACATGAACTTCAACAGCAGTCAATTCATGAGTGCATGTGTCAAGTTACCAAGCACCCAGGGCAGGATCATCCACTCCACTGTGGTGGGTGCCGGACCCTGGAAGTTGGAATCTCCAAAGGTTATATGCTGAGAGGCTAAGAGAAGCAGGAAGAGGAAGGTCATATAGGACGCAGTGTGACAGATGAACTTGATGAAGGGCTTGCGAATGAATAAGCCATAGCGGCTCTTTGGGGAGATGAGATAAAAGATGGATAACAGTGGGAAGAGGAGGCCTATGAAGATACATGTGATGAGCTTTCCTGCCCAGTGACGCCTCCTCCAGCCTGGAAACTCATCATACCACCGAGACGCCAAGAGCTGCTGACAGTTTGGCTGAGCAACAAACTGAAAAACAAGGGACAGGAAAAAAGAGGCAGATGAGCACTTTCCACTCCTCTAGTATTCAGGTTGTTACCTCTACCCGTGACAATCAAACCCCACTAAGACAGAAATATTGATTTGTGAAACAATTTGTCTTGTCCAACAACAAAACTGCCAACTCCAGCAACACAAAGACAAGCCCAGAAAGTCTTTTAGGAAGCAGAGGACAGGATTTTGATGACAGTAGCTGCTCTGTTTTGCTTTATATATTCAAGACTGCAGCTGACGAAAGCATCTGATTCTCAGTGGTCACCAACAAACGAAGCTCATCTGTCCTCAAAACAAGGACTTTAAATATCTGTTTGTAAGGAGGATCTCAAACAGATTCACATGGCATTCGTAAGAAAGTTACAGCAGACAGGGATAAGTCTGGATTAAAATGCTCACATGAAAAGTTTCTACCAACAGTCTCAAGCTCTCCCTGACAGGTTGAAAAATTATAACAACAGGAATGCCACCATGTGTCAGGGGCCAGGATTAGGGCCGGATTTGTCCCCTCACAAAAATCATCAATTTCAATTTCCAGCCCACTGAACAAAAAGAGAAAACACCCTGCAGAAAGACTTGATAGCTAACCAACTGCTTTGATTTCTAACATTTTAGCCCCATTTATCATTTCCAATTACAGAGCCGCACCTGTGACGCATTAAAAAACAAAAATTACTGCAAAAATGTGTTTTGTGAGTTTGCAAGGGCAAAGTTTAAACAGGGAAAACATTTGTTTCTTTGTTTTGTTAAGAAGACTGTCAAATCGGTTTCCCGTTCACATTTTCCTGCCCTGTGAGATTTGATATCTTCTGGACATCTGCTCATGGTGGTGGAGGTTAATTTCAATTTAACCAAATTACGTCCAAATGGATCCCAATTATGGTGGTACAAAGCATCAAATTGTGGGTGATGAGGTCATCCATCAACACAGTATCTGACAACTTCGATTTCTCCTCTCTCGTCTTGTGAGATGTCGACTTGCCTCAGCATGACTGGAGGCTAAAGGTGGCATCTGCAGGGACCAGATTTTGTCTGGGGACGATTTTAGAAAGTGACAATTACGCCATCCACATGCGATGACACCCACCTCTTAAAAGACAAGGATTCGCTCTGTCCTAAGGCAAATTGTTTGTTCATTACAGTCTAAAACACTTCCCATCTCATGCGGCTGGGAGGTGGGTAACATTTGCAGTCTTGAAGCTAATGAAAAGGTCTGCTTGTCACATAAAAGTAAACGCTCTTTTGGAAAGACTCTTAATGTTGGCCAAAAATGCACCAAAATGTGCAGTGTGAAGAAAACATTTACGTATAGAGAAAGTAATCCAAGATGTGAGAATGAGGTCAGAGCCCACTAAGTGCAGAAAGCTGCAGAAGAATAGAAGAAAGCGTTTTATTGAATACATTAAAGGACGAATTCGCCACAAATAATGTGCACATCCAGTAAGTGCTGGTGGTCTATGTTGTCCATTTAAATTCTGTAACCACTTTGGTGCCGTTTCATTAGTCCTTGATGGCCAAACCTCGTTAAAAGGACTTGTTTTGGTTTGCACAAATGGACAAAACAAAGAATCTGCAACTTTAGTAGCAGACCACAGCCTAATACTGGACACTCCTGCACAGTATGGAAAGTACAGGAAAACAATGAACCTGGCAGTATTTATTGCACTATTTTAAGCTGTGGCTTATACGATCTCTTAGAAAAGAAACTTCCTGGACCAGGGCTCGGCGATAAACCGAAAATTTACCGATAACGAAATTTGCAACAATAACCGATGTCATTTTGCCCGTATTGGTATATTTGGTTTCAAAAAAATAAATGAATAAAAGTTGGTTTTGGACATGACTCCACCCCATCCAGTCAGTAACAAAGAGGGAAAAACCGGTGAGGAGATGGAGGACGGTTCAGAAGTTGTAGTGACTGGAGCGGCGGCTGAAGTAGATGAAGTTAATGTGGGAGGGGGTGAGCAGCTTGTGGAGTAGTTATCGTCCATTTATTGTTATCAAGGTGAACTGATCAATATATCATGATATTGATTTGAGGCCATATCACCCAGCCCTGTCCTGGACTATGTGAAATGTGTAATAAAATTCAAGGTGCAATAACATTTATCCTTACAAAGTGCAATTAAAAGTCATTTTAACCTCAAAACTGCTCTGGATGTACTTGTCCTCTTCATCCTTTTTTATTCCTGTTCTGTTAATTCTATCTTTATGACAACTTTAACAGCTGTGTATGTGTGTTTGCAGCACTGTATGCAACAAGGTGTAGTTGTGATTTTTACCAGTGTTTAACTATCTAGGCTGTTATGATTATTATGAAAAGTCACACAAACAGCCTCTGAGCCCTTGAAGTTCATCTCCAAAAACCTTTTTGCCATGGAGACCAATGGTGGCACATGGAGCTGCTAACAATCACACTGATCTTTTCCTCTCACATTTCCAACTGGCTCATCAAAAATGACAGTAAATGTGAACACAGTGCATGAAAATGTTCAAGACCATGATAAAATTTGATGTTGACCAATTAAAAATGGAATGAAGGGAAAATATATAAAAAAAACAATTACACTTAAAATCTCAGCCTGTATGAACTATTGCAAACCCTTAAAACTTCAAGCTTGGATCACAGGTGTTGACATTTCAATTTCTAACTTTTACCTCAGGCAGCTATTCATTCAAAGTTTTTTTACGTTTGGAGATAAAGTCAGATTAAAAACAACCATAGAAACATGTCCAGTTCTTGTCAGCTCTACTTTACACCACATGCCAGATGGTTTTCTTTGCACCAAAGTGGGTTAAGTGTATCAAAGATGTTAAATGACAGTAAAAGGTTCCCTCCCTGATTAAAATATTATGAGTATGTTTTTCAGGGAAGTGGTCATCACTTATTCCATCATTATCCCCAATTATCCTCCTATTGTCGTGGGACTGTCTGAGAGGGCTACTGTAATGCATTGCTAAGAGCCCAGCCTGGCAATTACATGTTGCTCTCCCCATGGACATCTCCACCCTTCTCAGGCCATTTAGAGCTCATCTTGATTTGTTCTTGTTGTCCACTTAGTGTGGACGACAAGGATGTGATACTCTAACCATTACTTAAAGTATTTGTGACAAATGAAACCAGCAAAATTAAATTTTTTCTTTAGTTAATCTTCTCCTTTTGCTGTAGATGTAATCATGTAAAAAATGGATATCATGATCAACAAGGAACTTACCTCTTTCTGGCAGTATTTGATAGCTAGCTTCAACCGAGCCAGATCATTATTACTCTCATCCAGCAGAGGGTTGATGTCGTCACGGTAGTTGAGGATTGTTTGCAGCTCTCTAGAACTTCGAGTCTGGTCCAGAAGGTCCTTGGCAAACTGTTTACATACATGTGACAGCTCCTCATACTCTGCCTTGAACTCATTTTCCACTGTACTGAGCTCCTTCAGCTCCCAGCTCAGCTGAAAAGCCGTAAGGAAGGGATCCTCACTCGAGACGGCGATAAGTGACGGGCTGGCGAGGGCCTTGTAGATGTTGAGTCGAGAACGGGAGTGACGTAGGCCGTCCACATCCAAACTGGACCCACACTCTATGCAGTTGCAGCGAACAGCGTGTGGCTGAGGTATGGAAACTCCTCGCTGCACAAGCAGTTTGATGATTTCATAGTTGTTGGTGTGAGCGGCGAGGATGATAGGGGTGATGTCTGGGGTGAAGTCTGAAAACTGTTTGTCCAGCAGGATGGGTGGGACCTTTTCAGCAAGGGGAGAAACACATGAAAATTTACAGCACAACTTTGACTAGTTTGTGAGTTGATAGATTAAACTCATTTTTAAACCCCTGACAGACAACTGAAACAACTTTATGGAAAGTGCCTGCTCTCTCATCCTTGGATCCTAAGCTATCAGTAGTGTGAGAAAATAGGACTCTAAACTGTACCTGGTTTTCCCCTCTTGGCTTCTTGTGGTTGAGCAGCAGCTCCACTGCCCCCACCACTTCTTTGCGGATGGCATGCAGCAGAGCATCACCTACATACACATCAAAACTGAGCAGTAGCTCAATGATCTCCAGGTTCTCATTGTCAATGGCAATGAGCAAGGCTGGGCGTCCCAGGGGATCAATGCAGTTAATGTTAATCCTGAAGTAGATCTCAGCCTCCTCCAGGGCTTGCTTTACGCTGGCATAGTCCCCTTTCTCAACAGCCCCCAGGTAAGCCCTCTCCAGGGCAGAGAGCTCAGACTCTGCCCGCACAATCCGCAGAGGGATGCGGTCCCTGAATGAGGAATTGTCAGTTTTCCTGTAGTAAAGCTGTGTCATTGCCGCTGCTGCAGCATCACAGTCTCTACTTAGAAAAGATGAGAAACAAAGAAGAGGAGGAAAAAAAATTAGATCAAGTTTGAGTTTAAGCATTGATGATTCAGACACAATGGGACAATACAGCAAATACAACAGTGAAAACACAAAGAATGTCTTATAGCAGATATCATGGGAAATGGGAACCAAAGATTTAGGATGGGGCAGCTTATCTACACACTGAATATAAAAAAACATTAACAATGCCTATGAAACAATATCTTTAATATTAAATTACAACTTTAATTCTGGCTTTTAAGCAAATTTGGTCAAAGTAAACAAATAGTGTTAATCTGGAAACACACTTCCTGTTTACACTGCTGCTTCATAAACTCGTTTAATTTGAAGAAGAAATAATATCTCACCGAAAAAAAATCTCTTTTTAACCGAAAAACAAACATGCGCTGAAGAGACAGAGAAACTTTACCTTCATCCTGTTGCTTCCCAGCACTGAGAAACGGGGAGACAAGGACTCTGCAGCAGTCAGGAGGAAACTTGAGCACACGGACAGATCCTGATCTGTGACTGAAATCCCCACTGGAGACACGCTGTAATAATTCAGAGACATGCCACACAACCCCCCCTGCCCACTCCTTACGCTCTCTCTCTGTTCGTCTGAATGACTAAGTGAGGACAGTTGTTGACCTGTACGTTTCATCGCAAAATACTCCAGTATAAGAGTATAAATTACAGGCATAGTTGATGATTGGAGAAATTGGTAATTTTTATGAAACACGTTTATATGGCGATCATGGTACTATAGTGCGATGGCTACGGTGGCCGAGAACTGCCACTGTTGCAAAAAAAAAAAAAAAAAAAAGTCACAATGGAAGTTACCAATGCAAAAAAAGAGAATGAAACCGAAGCCCACTGCAATTAAAAAAGAAATGGTGCAGGGAAAAAAGCCACAACGGAAGTTAACGACACAAAGAAAGTGGCGATGCAAAAAAAAAAAAAAAGTTACATACTGCGAAAATAAAAGGATGCATAAAAAAAAAAATGTCCGTGGATGAGGAAAGAAGTAAGTGGAAAGGTTATTGTTTGCCGGTGTAGTGTTAGCTTCAGTCCAATTTTATATTGACTTAGGGGCTACGTGGCCTAACCAAGTGACACAATAAAAAGTTTACGAAGCAAGAAACAAAAACAATAACCTTTCTACTTACTTCTTTGCTTGTCTTCTCGACGTCGTCTTCTGTGCCTAGATCATAAAACATCGGTGCCTCATCATTATTGGTCCCCGGCAGCTCACTTCCGTTGTGGCTTTTTTTTATTTGCACCCTTTTATTTTAGCAGGAAGTAACTTTTTTATTTATTTATTTATTTTTGCATCGCCACTTTTGCTTGCGTCTTTAACTTCTGTTGTGTTTTTTTTCTTTCATCTGCACTTTTTTTTTTTTTTTTGCATCGGTAGCTTCCGTCCTGGCTCCTTTTTTATTTGCAGCAGTAGCGGTTCTCAGCCACCTTACAGCTCCCCAAAACATTGACCAATGGGAGCCATCCGCCCCCGACAGCTCCTATTGGTTCAATCTCCTGCTCCTCCGCCTCTCCAGGTGATTACCTCGCTGTATTCGACACACCCCTCTCCCGTAGTTCCGACTCGTCCCCTCTTACTCTCCCGGCCCTCCTCGGAGATCTGAGCGGCTAAAAGTAGCATAGCAGCTTAGCTACAGGAGCTGTGATGGTGAAGGACGCTTAAAAACACTTCTGCTTGCCTCACCGCCAAATGTGGGAAGAAAACTCAAGCCGACAGAAGAAAGGGCGGAGATGAAGAGGAAATGTGACCAAGTGAGGAATCGAACTCGGTGGATAAAGCTCCGCCAGGATTCGGGCCTGAAAACAAACGCCGAGACAGCAGAGTTTTTGTTGAACAGGTAATTTTTATCGCCTTAATAACTCTTATTAGTCTCTGCAATGTCAACACAGTAGTTGTCCAGGCAGCAGCACACGGTGCTCGCTAGCAGAGCTGGTGTTTACTGCCGCGAGTCACGAACAATCCGACATGGTGAATCCTATTTGAAGCTAGAGTAGGCTCTTCTGCCAGCAGGCTTCTTGCCAGTGTTGTTTCATTCGCAAACGACTCTTTCAGAAGAACCGAATCTTTTAAGTGAATGTTCTGAACCGAATCACTTTCTCAAGTGATTCGTTCGTTTCTCACTTCTGTTGAGCTGAAGTGAGCATGCCTTTAAGTTTCATTTTAGTTCCTTTGTAAAACGCAGGGACCATAAATTCAAGATTAAAACATAAAAGAAGTAGTCTGACACAACGATCACAACCCCTTCTCGAGTAAAAAGCGCAGCTTTACAAAATAAAATAACTTTGGCTAACTTCTATATGCATCTATATTTATAAGAACAAAAATTTAGGTCTGCATCTTGTTAGGAGGAGTATAGCCTTACTCACTGTGTTTCTCTTTTGAGGTGAGGAGACATTCATTACCTGGAAGATCTGAAGCACCTGGGCCAACAGCTCCACCCAGGATGTAAAAGCCTTTGTTTCCTTTTTCTCTCTCTCAACCACCACTGCACACTGGTTTGATTTGGACACACACACACCATGCTCACACACATACACACTTACATTATACATGCTTCAGATACAAGTTTCTTTGTATTGTTGATTTAAAGATATTGATTTTTGTAAATAAATACTTGAATTTTTTAGGCAACTTCTGTTCCCTTGGTTCTTTTTTGTCATGCTCCTTGACAAAATGGGGGCTCGTCCGGCATTGACAAAGTCTAATGCAACACGTACAAAACATCTGCGCCTGCTAAAGTTCCTCTGCCAACTCTTATCAGCTTGATTTTATCTGAATCCATTTGGAAGTAAAGAGTAATGAGTTAGAAGTAATTTAAATCGGTTTAAGTGTCAGTTGATCAAATGACATAATTACAAAGCCTGAAGCGTAAAATAACAGGTTTTCTCATGAAAAACACAACCTGCATCCTTTACTTAATCTTGTAGTTTTGCATTGTTAGAGCTGCTGTTAGTAACCCAGAAAGAAGGAATGCCTGCCAAAACTTTGAAGGTGGTAAATATCTCATGCCTAATTTAATTTTCATTTCACCAACACTTGTAAGATGTTGAACATCAGTCTTTAGTTGGCGAGTATAAGCCTTCACAGTTGCTTGGAAACCTCAATTTATGTCTTTCTTCCAAATCCATGTGCAAGAGGGACAAACGACCCTTTGAGTGTGTTTTTTTTTCTTGCCATCATATATAACTAAATAAATCATCAGTGACTCTTTGGCCATGTTGAATCATGTGAGCTGTTTGCCAATCTGATGTCCTTAAAGACGCAGTTTTTCTAGACTTGAACAAGCCTGTCCAGATGTCATGTTTTGGCAAATAAAGTCACTGGACTACATCTGTACATTTGCTCTTAATCCTCCCGAGACATTAGAGTAATCGTAAAGTTATCTTTCTGTTCCCAGTATTTGTAGATTGTGACACTGAGGATTAATGAGCTGCACCGAGTGCGTCAGTCCGTATGAATAATGAGATGACATTCAGATTTTCCCCCCTTTCCCTCAGAGTCATTCTAATTAGCATGTTTTGAAGTCCAGAGAAATCAGTTCGCTTTCATGTGACTTTGTCAGATGCTGCATGTGTGAGAGGACGTAGTGTGCGCGATAAGATCAACTTCCTTTCCTCTGAATCAACAGAATCTCTCACTTACAGGAATTGTGCTCGATATAATTATCACTTCAGTTATTATCTCATGACACTGAATGCAAGACAATCTAGTTTGGACAGGATACCAGCAGCAGCAGCTTATCCAGCAGTGAAGTGATTTGATTGAACAATGTTGAATTTAGATTTATTTCTTTTCATGTATGTTTTAATATTAAGTCTTGGTTACCAGCCTTGTTGGGTGGTCTGTTAACTTTTGGATGCAGATACTGACGAGGTTAAATGTGTTTAAAGTTCTGAGAAATGTGACAAGATAAAGAACAACCCTTTACACTCAGGAAATATGGAAACCCATATAACTCACAGAAAAGGGATTTCTCAGGGGTAGAAGATCACGTTGCAGTCCAACCACAACTGAAAATTGTAAACATTCACATCAATAATACATAAAAGCTTCCTGTTTCTGGGCTCTTTCATCTGTGGGTTAGTTTCAAATGGTTTCTCCTTCAAGTCAACATTTATTTTTAATGCCAGTTAAAGCCTGTTTGAGATCCACGGATAGACTATTCAGGACGTGTTTTGGTCCTCCTCCTTTTCTTTATCTATTTGGTTTATCTTCTTTTTATGAAGAAAGCTTTTGTTCGACCGTATAGTGCTGGTATGAAACAGTAGAGTTAACTTAATGTATATTCTTTTACAAATTTAAAAAGAAAATGACTGAAAACCTTCAAATAATATCGAAATAACAATAAAATGTTTGAATTATAGTATCCAGACGGGGTTACAGACCATCAGTATTCATAGTGGCCAGGATTTGCAATATCTGTTGCACAATGAGCAGGTGCATCTATCTGTTATATTGCTTGTCACTTTATAGAGCTGAGGCAGCTGCAGTTCAGTTCCTTGCCCTCGGGGAGCCTTCAGCCTGTCGTCTTTTCTATTTTTTCTCCTTTCAAGTACCCCTTACTTTATTTTTGAGAATTGAGTGGTCACCCTTAAGGTCAGACTGTATCACCGGCTCATATTCTGTGTTTTTCTATTTGATTCTTGCTGCATGAGAAGGCTGCTGACTGACAGAGCACTCCAGAGCGTGACCTGTGCTGATACCAGACAATATATAATTCAGCAAACAGAGATGTATGTTTTTACTTTGCCTGAAGGGTTTCTGAGGTGAAGAAATACCTGTATGATGGCTGTAGATAACTTCATAAACCAAAATATCTGACTGAACAAGAAAATATAACTGCATTCTTTGAAATGAAAACAAAAGGTTTATTCCCAAGACTGTATTTAAAGGATTAAGATTGTGTCGATAGGGATTTTATCAGAAGTAGAAGTTTGAGGGATGCTTTTCTGCCAGATGAAATCTTTTTTTATTTACATGTGCAGACGGAACATTTTAAAACACATCAAAAAGGTAGAAAGTTCAATCATCAGCAGTTAGAAACACACATACTCTGTAAAAGTATAAGACTGTGCCAGACCCAAAATCTGATAACTCAATCTGGTATTCCTTTCTTCTGCCACTAGAGGGCAGAGAGGGATTTTCTTTTCCTGCCAAATCCTGATGAGCTTCATTTGATGCAAAAGTCTTTTAAAACACAAATGTTGTTCCTTTTTTTACACTTTGTTTTAACATCAGTAAAAGCATCAGACATGACACAGCAATCTGACTGTAAAAAGCTCTCCATGAAAAAGCTCCTCACTGGATCCCTCTAAAGTTTATGTTCAGTGGGGTCTAGCGTATCTGGGCCAAATATTTGTTAATGATGTTTGCTGTTGCAAAAAAATTCTTCTGACCCAGTTCCAGACGTGTTTATGACTGCTTTCACTTTTCTTAAGTGTCTAATGACTCTTACTTTCTTGTGCCAGCGCTTTGGGTTTATTTCTTTAATCTGCAAATAATGAATAAGTAAAAGTATGAAACACTTAAGAATAAAGAGTAATTCTCAGCGGGAAACTTTGCATCAGGTTTTACATATAGGAGCTGCTAGCAATTACAGAGGCAGTTTAAAGCACCAGGGTTTGGTATTAATTGGAGTTTGTTTATACCATCACTCGTTATGGTAAACGGTGTTGGCAGTTGGATAAATGTAATTCTGTCTGTTGGGAAAAATGTGTTTTAAATTCAAAGCCTGAAATTCTGCAGTGGTTTTCATGCGCTTACATCAAAAACGGGTTGGGGCTCTAATAGTGTTTGTGTGACGAGTGAAATAAAACTAATGTGTATGATTTGAGCTGGTTTAGTCTTTTCTGTGGGGAACACTTGCTTCAGCTGAATTCGTATCTTTTATGTGAGCACACAAAGCTTGGAAATTTTCAAAGCTGGAATCTATAAACTCACAAAACTTGATGGGTGTTTTGCAGGACTGGTCTGACTTCACAGTAGGCGACCAGTCTGTGCTGCACACGTGGGTGTCGAACATGTTCAGCATAACAGTCCAGCTTTCTGTCAATTAGATGCACTATGTACGGGCCAGTGTTTGACCCTGCTTCTAAAAATGAACACTGATGCAATAGTCGAGCTGGCAGCAGAAATTTAAAGTCATTAGAAAAGGTCTTGAACTAATTAGAGCTGACAGTCTTTCAGGACTGAGACATCACAGCAGTATTTAGGGAGAAACACAAGGTGAGCAGAGCCGAACATATGAACAGGTATGACTTGAGTGTTCAGGGGTGAGAGTGTTGTTTCATGTTTAGGATAAAACCCCAAACTTTTACTGTAAAATTTAGATTTTTTTTTTTAATGATATTTTTTATTTAAATTAAAAAGTGCAAATAGGGTAAATAGTTTTTGCTCAATTTTTTGCATATACAGAAGTGCTGGAAAAGATAGAAACAACATAAATAAATATAATAGTAATAAAATTAGGGTCATCATAGTTATGTCTATGAGAGTACAAACTAGAATATAATCAAAATAAAGGGAAAAGGAGCACAGACATAGTTAACATAATTAAATAAATAGTGAAAAAAAGACATGAGGAATCTTTAAAATAAAAACCAATTAGTAGATGGAATTAGAAATTAAAAACTAATCCTCCACCATCACGTTTAACTTATTGTAAATGTACAATAAGTGTTTTTTCATGTTTAGGATTGAACCCCAAACTTTTACTGTAAAATTGTGATTTTCTTTTAATGATATTTTTTATTTAAATTAAAAAATTAATTAAACAACATTAGAGTCATAGCTATGACTATATGAGAGTACAAACTAAAATAGATTTAAAAGAAAGGGAAAAGAAATACAGAACACAGACAGACACAATTAATAACTATGATAATATAAAGTTGAGTTAACATTATTAAATAGTGAAAAAAAGAAATTGGGAATCTTTAAAATAAAAATCAATTAGTAGATAAAATTAAAAATTAAAAACAAATCCTCCACAATCAAGTTTTACTTAATGTTAATGTAATGATATCGATGAATACTCCTTTATTGAAAATATCCTATCCTATATCCTATATTTATGTCTGTTTGGAGTTAAAGTGATTGTACATTTGTGCTGTGTATTTTTTCCTAACATGTGAAATGTGATGTTACCATCCTCTGGCAGTAGCAATAAGGAACAGGGTTTATAATGAATGCAGTTGCACAAGGCAAACACACCAGAGTATTAACTCTGTAGTCTGTTTCATGACAAGTAGACCAATTGTTAGCCTTTTTTTTTTGATAAATGTGTAATTTATCTCTGCAGGATCTGTTGTTATTCTGTGAAGATACATGCAGGTTAGAGGTCATATTTATGTCTGTCCGCGGGGATATTTACCAAACTCAACAAGATCAGCGAGATGTCTTCACCTGAAAAATGAGAGAGTTTGTCAGTTTGTGTGCTGGTGCTTATTAGAGCTGTCAGCGGGGGAGATGTAGTGTGTGTGTGCCGGAGTGTGTACTGCTCATTTAGTGTATTAGCAGTTCAAGAGG